TTAGTTAAGCTAAATTAATTACATACTTAATAACTTACTAATATTATGAACGCAGTTCATGAGTCGATATTTGATACTCTTTCACGCAAAAAGTACTGAATTTAATGAAACTTTAAACGAGTAATACAGCTATCTTATAGATCAGAATATAAATCATGCGGTTTTGCATTAAATATATATTTTTTTCACCACAATATTCTCTACATATATCGTCAATTTTAATGTACCATATATAATTATACAGCATCGTAGATACATTCCAATATTAGGGTTCAGTTATTTCACCGGAATAATCAATTACTATTAGGATTGTACATATTGTATAAACATGATATTTAGTAGGATAATATTAGAAATAGAAATAATTTTTATTCAAATAAACTTACTATAAGCACTAATTTAGAACGCAGACTCATCATAAAAAGAATGTTATCGAAACTTGCTTGTTGCTATTTTAAATAAAATATATAATTATTTACGAATTGTCTATATTTCAACCCTATTACTAACGTGGTTACGGGTGGACTGGATATGGCGCAAGATGTAAACAAGTATTATGAGGAGAAAAATCTGTTTACACGCTGAAACTTAGAAATAAGACCAAGTTTTTTACACTACTAGAAAATAACGTAGTATCTAGTTGATAAGTTATGACAAAACACACTTCTGGACTTTTGGAGCATATTTACCTTTATACATATTTTTAAGTACACATAACATGGAATTCCATGAACGGTATATCTTGAACGGTGATGAAATTATAGTATTCATACATTTTAATGGTTTTTTCTTTGCTTAAACCAGTGTTTATTACTATCATTTTGGATATACCGGTTTCATACGTGATTTTACTTGTAGTTTTCCTCCTTTTACTTTATTCAATATGTTTTGCTAGTTTCGCCATCGTCATTTTGCATTTTTATTTTCATTACAATTTATTCTCAGACACAATCTTTGTAGCGATCGATCTAGCTGATCCTGAGAACACTGTTCCGCCTCTGAATTAAATAATACGTCAAAGATTTTGAAGTTTAGTTATGCAAATTTCTGAACGCACCCTATTTGACAAATGCGAATAGTTTGAGTGGGAAAATAAAATTGTTGTTTTTACTATTTTCCATGCAGTTTCTTCATATTTTTCACAACTTAAACCTTCCTCGGAGTTCTACAAATATTTCAAAACTAAAATTATCCAAATCGGTCCAGCCGATATCGAGTTAAAGCGCGACTAACAAACGTAATTTGATTTTTAGATATAAAAATGAAACAAGATAATTAGACGTTGCGCTTTCTGCTAAATACATTTCATATATTTTTAAAGCTGATATTTCTATTTATGGTGCTATATGGTTATTGATACTAACAATGTAGTCGCAACTTGAAGAGGCTAGGCTCATAAGTGACAGCTGCAATTCGTTTTCTCCGGTGATGTAGCTGGTTCCATTGTTGGATGCCCATTTCTTGTCACTATCTAAACAAACATAACACTTTCTATTCTGCGGACAGTGTATTCATAGAATGCATAGTCTGCACATTCATTCACTAGACAGTTAGATATTGTCCGCGAAATACATTATTTTCATCTATTTCAAATACAATAGTAAGTAATTATTTTATTAATCATATTTTATACGACATTTTATCTAAATCTGAACAGATTTTGAATGACTTTTTTAATGAAGTGTGATTTTAATGAAGTACTATTAATAATAATCCCGGAAAATGTATATAGTATCATCTAGTGCTAAGCTAAACTGAGCTAGTATTATGAGTACTAGACAACTGATAGGAACATATACACTTTTTTATGTATCTATAAGTTGTCTATGTACGCGTAACACAAAGACCGTTTAGCTTGGGACTAGATGGCGCTCTGTAAATTTCTGATTATGTCTTTCTTTTAAATATTTATAGTGTATATTGTAGACCGTAATTTTGTCTACTTTGAGGATTTCCGCAGTAACATTGGATTTAGCGTTGTATAAATAAAACACTGCCTTTGAGAGCCGGATATTAACTTGCTCGCAGTAGACTACACGTGTAAGTATTAATACGTTTTGAAATGTAAATCGCTGTTGTTAAAAAAATAAATATTTATATATCTCATATATATATCGACGGCCTCGGTGGTCTAGTGGTTTAATAAACTGCCATACTTCCGATGGTAGCGGGTTCGATTCCTCGCACGGCACAAACATTTGTATTCATGAGTATGATTGTTTGTGTCGGTGTAGGTGTTTTCTATGTATAATATTTATGTATTTAGAAGAGAAATCTATGTATTTGTATCAGTTATTAGTTATTTAGTATTACTAGTACTTACTTATTATTACTAGTACTTACACATAGTCTGTTTGTTCCGGCTAATAAAGGTCCAGCCGTTTCAGAGATTAGCCGGAACAAACAGACAGACAGGCAAAAATTGTAAAAAATGTTATTTTAGTATACATATGTACCTTATATATATTCATATGCATGAAGTAAAAAACGATTATTTCAATACTACAAACAGACACTCCAATTTTATTTATATGTAATTTGCGGTATCAGACATCCGTTGAAGAATATGAGAGAAACGACATTTGGGCAAAATGCCTTCGTCACAAAAGCCGCTAGACCATCTGTCGACTTTTATGATGGAACACTTTTATCTGCCAACAGAAACATGAGAACGAAATATTTGGAAAGACTTTGGTAATGACATAGACATTATGACAATAAAATCATAGCAATGTTAATCTATACATCTATACATATAAATAAAATTGGAGTGTCTGTTTGTAATATTGAAATAACCGTTTTTTACTACTTACATATGAATATACATACAGTACATATACTAAAATATCATTTTTTACAATTTTTGTCCGTCTGTCTGTCTGTCTGTTTGTTCCGGCTAATCTCTGAAATGACTGGACCGATTTTGACGGGACTTTTATTGGCAGGTAGCTGATGTAATAAGGAGTAATTTAGGCTACTTTTATTTTAGAAAAATAAAGTTAAATTCCACGCGGACGAAGTCGCGGGAACAGCTAGTGTATAATATATTAGAGATACCTACGTGTTTTTTTTTTATTGGTGACTAGCTGTACACGGGATTTCGTCCGTGTGAAATTTAACTTTATTTTTCTAAAATATAAGAAGTTAAATTCCACGCGGACGATATCGCGTGTACAGCTAGTAATACATATATCTAAAACTAAATATAGTATTGGTTAATATACTATTCAATTGAAAAACATCTAATAACAAAAAATTTGCTTACTTGAACTTACACGATTTATTTGAATGAATTTGTCTTTGGTTTCCAACGATGTAACGACTACCTATACAAATAAATAAAATTTTAGTGTCTGTTTGTTATTTCAAATTAACAGATTTTCATGAAATATATCTAAAATATACTTTTATGTAAATAGTCGTATGTAATAAAATAAATATTAATACAATGCAAAAGTCGACTTAGAAATTTTAGTTAAAATTTAACTTATTTATTAGTTTAATCCCGCTCTATTAAAAATGTTAAGTACAATTTCCAACACTGTAGATTTAGAAATTGTAATTAAAATTTATTTTATTTATTAATTTGTATTAAATTAATAAATAAAATATTTTTTTTCATTATAATAAGTTGTATTGTATTATAATAAAGAGGGCCGGGCCGAACACTCCTAAACCCAGGTTATTAATTAACTTATCTAGGTGGCTAGTTTACCTACCTCTACTTATATTTTTATACTAGCTATCCGCCCGCGGCTTCGCCCGCGTGGACATAGAATATGTAGGTTATCGGTCGTTTAAAGATCCGTGTTCAGTAGTGGGACGTTATATATCCTAAACCTTCCTCTTGAGTCACTCTATCTATTTTGCCATGATCGACGTTCAGGATTGTATCTGGCGCAAAGGATTTCCCTAGCAATTCAACGTGGAAATGCTGCGAGCGTTATGGGAACCTTTAAGCCGGGTACAATACGGAACAATAATAGCAATTAACTTTTAGGTTTTTTTTTATTGTATATTTACCATGTAATTATTAATGTAATTAATTTTATAAATTGAATTATTTTTAAAATATTTTTAGTAATCTATTTTGTCTTTTAAATAAAAACGCATCAAAATCCGCGTAGTATTCCGAAAGTTTGTGAGTACGGATGGATGTTTGATAGGCTATAAATTGGATGCAGGTGAAACCGTGGGCACAGCTAGTATACATACTATAAATGACTTCAACACCCGTGTTGTCTCTTGGTCTAAGGAAGGGATTTTTATTTTTAAGTTTAAAAATATCTGGATTTATATTCACAAATTCTAAAACTGTAATGTATTTAGTATAGTATTTATTTTATAGTTCAACAGTAATATAAATTATCTATGTAGGCGTATTTACTATTAAGTTATTTATAGGAACGTGCGTTGTGATGCATTAATTTTACGGAATATAAACCTCTTAGAACCCATTAGTGAATTATTCATATGTGAATTATATAGCTTGTATATGATGAGAAAAATATAAAATGCGCATATGTATTATCACAATATTTGCTATAGCAATAAAAATGAGCGTTTACGAGTTTTACAATGTTTTTTATAAATGTATTTAAAAAAATAAACAAATAAATAACCCTGAACAATGAACACAGCGCTATCTAGTCCCATGTTAAGCAGAGCTTGTGTAATGGGTACTAGACAACTGATATAAATACTTAGATATTTTATTAGTAAACATATACGTAATATACATTGAAAACACCCAGACTCACACTAGTGCAAACAATTCTATTCATGAATATCATTGTTGTATAGGTCTGGGTATTTTCCTAATATATATATTTATGTGTGCATTTAAAAAAAAGTTTGTTTTTAACAGTAGTCTAGTGTCACGGGTTAAAACAAGCTCAGTTTACAGTCGGACTAGATGGCACTGTGTTAATTTTCCAGGGTTATTTATTATTATTATAATTACATTTATACTAATTAATATGTTCATATGTTTGTTTCAGATTGGATAGCAGACTACAATATGGCGAATGTACTTGTGAATTCGACACAAAGCGTTTTAAAGGACACATACGACTATTATCTATGGACCCTATCATTATCAGGTAATTTTCATATTATTATTAATAATCTATATATTTTCGAAAATAATGTATATCTATTTGTCTGTATCAGTTATCTAGTACTCATAATACAAGCTTTAGTTAGCTTAGCTTGGGTCTAGATGTCGTCGCTATGTTAATAATCCCGATATTACAAAAAGAAAGAAAAAAAATATTATTATAATGAAAATTGCTGTCTACACCTTCCGGCCGAGCCCCCGTCCAATTCAAACATATGGAAATTACAACGGCTTGAGCCGAAGTTCGAACCCCTTGCGTTGCTCTCAGACTAGTCGTATCCGTCGGGCAGGAGTTGGCTTTCAGTTACTCTATGTCTCCATGCAGTCTGTATGTATGTGTTAAAATGTATATTTTTTTAATTCTTTGATGCATTCATCTGGGGAGCCGGCCGAGCCGTAGTTTATTTTGAATATAATAAGTTATATAACAATGTTATTATTATATAATAAAACTATTATATAACATTGCATATATAAATGTAAATGAATTGCTGATGACTATATAACTTAATATTTACATAATTTTGATTGGCTGTTGTTATTTATGATTCTATAATGTCCCATAATTTATGTCACTTTTTTATACTTATTGGATAAAAAGCTGTCAATTTTTTTGTTAAAAATAAAATACAATATTTAATTATAATGAAAGTAATGATAATGAACGTGTCATCGATTTAATACTCTGAATCAGATCTTTGTGCAACATTCTATTTTTAACTGACTTTTCGGTGATGGAAACACCGAAACAGAGCAAATAGAACTGAGAGATGCCATATTGGATTTATGTACAAGTATATAAGGGCAGCAGATTATTTAGAATATAAACTTAATATTGTTCTACTTTTAATTAGTATATATATATATACATATATATGTAATTTTTTAAATCTGCATATTGGGTGACTGCTAAGCTCATTTAGTCATCATCATTGCCTTGCCTTTATCCCATTATTTGGCGCAGTATATCATTTTCTTCCACTGCTCTCGGCTAAGCCCATTTAGTATGCTGTAAAATATATATATATTTGTTTTAATTGATTAACTCTTTGAATACCATATTGTGAAAGGTGAACCGGAATACTAATGAGACGTCCATTTTACAAACTGTTTTGACATGCAAATTGGACATCAAAAGTACTTACCATTTCTAATTTACGTGTCAACACACAGACGTGGAGTCAACACACACCGTAATGTAATTTCTTTTTAGTTTTTTTCTCACTTAGATGAGATATGAGATGTGTATATGAGATTTTTAATAGAACTTGATGACTTTTGTTTATTCTTTTTGCAATGGTTTATTATTCAAAATAATATATATATATATATATATACTTCTAACTATTCTGATGCTGTTGGCTGCAGCTGTAAAGGCACAGCTTCAAGAGTAAGTGCAGATGGCAATCCAAATCCGCGGAACGACATATGAAGGCGGACTAGATTAGACTCCTGTGACTGCCCCTATCGGTAATTTCAGAATGAAATTGTATCCTACTATATTAACAATACTTCTTGGGGTTCGAACCTCGACTCAGGCGTAATTTTGATTCCCGTTTGAATTGGACAAGGCTTTTAGCGGGAGTAGGGCCCCTCCCTACCCCCGCTAAAACCCGGTATGTACAATTGTAAATAACCGCTATTAAAACAATATCTGTTCTTGTTACAGACAGCAGAACTAAGGGATGGCCGTTAGTCGACTCACCAGCACCAACAGTATTCTACACATTAATGTATTTATTCATCGTGTGGATAGGACCAAAAATAATGAAGAATCGACAACCATTCAAACTGACCTGGTTGCTAGTTCCCTACAACTTAGCAATGGCCTTCCTCAATGCATACATAGCGTTAAGATTGTTAACAGCATCCTTTAGACTCAGATATAGCTACATATGTGAGCCATGCAGACAGAAGTACGATCCTGATGAATTACAAGTAAGTTTATTGAATAATTTGTATTAATAACTAAATTTATACATTGTTCATATAATATATAACACAGGTTATTCATCTATAAAGTAGACTTCAATAGGTGAAAGTCTTTTTAATATTGGTAGAGTATTCTTTAATTTATACATTACTAATGATCCCAAATCAGCATTATTTTATCGAAAAATATTCAAAAATGGCTTAAAATAATAGATACCGCCGATTATAATCTTGTCATTCACAGGATTCGCAACACATCCATAACTTTATGACAGAATTAACAACTCGGTTTAGTATTGGTTACATACAACAATTACTCAAAAGACACATATAATGAGTAGTTATATAGGCTTCACACAGGTGAAGCCTATATAACTACTCATTATACCACTCATGCATTCAAATTCTGGAGGACTAAAATGTCCATGCCTTTCATCCTCAATTTTTCTACCCTCTGCACTCTTTAACTGAAACTGAGAACACAAGCAAGCTTCATGAAATCTAATGAAATTAAAAATCATTTATTCAACTACAACATGCTTGGCGGCCTAAACAAGTATTATTGATTAAAAGATAACGCACAAACTTGTCTGTTGGTATGTTATTTTTAAATCAATAAATGGCTGTACGCATTTTAATGAAATTTGACGTCAAGTATCATGAATACCTAATTCTACTGTTACTTATCTTTTAAAAAGCAGACGAAGTCGCAAGTTATAATATAATTTTTAATATTATAGGACAACACTAAATAGTAGATATAAAATAATATAAGATTAATAAAAAACTGTCCGTAAGGAGGACATATTCGGAACATTGACCAAAAGTTTCTTAAGTACATTCTGTTGTTTCTCCTCTAAAAGTATGAAATCCGCGTCCTTTAATGGGTTAATATGGATTCATTGTATCCATTTCGTAATCTTATCTATTATCAAATCTATTTACTTTTATACCTATAATACATTTAATAGTGTTTAAAAAATTAAGTAAATGAATGAATCTCTTTATTGTTCCTCTCACAATAGAAAATATAACTACATACCCAATTATGTACAAAAACATAAAAATACAATTATAAACAAAACAAAGAGCGATAAGACCAGCTCGGTCTTATCGCTCTATGTATTTCAGGTAATCTACAAAAAATACTATGGTGGTAATGTCAGTCATACAAATTAAAAATGGATATTATTATATATATTCTTTTCTTATAAACACAGCAAAATGTAGCCGTGAAAAGAAGTTTAAAAATTACTATACAATAAGTAGAATCTATATTATAATATTCTAAAAACAAAAGAGTGTCAATCTCTTAATACATAAAATTTTGTTCACTGAGCAAGTAATCACTATGTTTATATTTTATGTAGTATAAAATCTACATAAAATATAAACATAGTGATTACTTGCTCAGGGAACTATTTACTAGTATAATATTTATTTAAATACAAGTAGGAACTTACATTATACGTGTTCAGCGTTCATATCAAGCTTCATACTTGTTACTACTAATGAAATTTGAGTTTATATTACGAGGACGGCATGAACTGTCTGTTATCAAAAAAAGCAGACAAAATTATGGGTACAGCTAACGTTATATAACAAAAAACTTGGAATTCCAAATTACATAGAATCAATGTATCACCGACTCAGCATATGGTAGTTGCTGTAGCATACGGTATACGGTATACCATATGCGTCTTATATGATTGATAAAATTTTCCATATTAAAAACTTGTTGTCTAAAAAAATTAAATTATATCAAACTTTATATCTTAATAACGGCATTCACAAATTCGAGCAAACTTTGGCTAAACATAAATTAATCTTTTATACAACAATCATCCAACACTTCGTTTAACTTCGTCTGAGTTTTGGAGTTCTTGTAAGTATGCTTTTAACAATTGCGGGAAAAGATACGTTTCCTCAACTTTTAGAATTATGTAAATGGTATTTTCCTCGACTTGGCTTTCCTTATTTTTATGGCCATTTATGAGAAATGAAAAAGATCTATAGAATTCATCTATTTATAGAACTTGACATTCTTAATTCAAATATTTCAATGCATAATTCAGTCAAATTATTCATAGAATTTAATATTCTTAATTCAATTTTTTACGCGTTACATATGCTTAAAAATTTAATACAATTATTTTTATACTTTTCGCATTATGTATATTGTATAATAATGTATTATACCACGCTCATTATAACGCGATATCCGTAGATAGAGATAGAAATGTTAGCGGATGTAAGCGATTGTTACTACTTAGGTACCACTTTTTTAAATTTATTAAAGTCCACAAATAGATACACATTACCATATGGTTCATGGCTATTTTGTTATAATTTTTAGTAAATGTGACACCCACTACGTTAACCACTAATTACTATAAAAATATTAAATGCTTTATAATAGACACGTATCCGATACTCCAATTAAATAAAAAGTATTTTAGTAGATTAAAATGAATTGAAATTGTTTATATATTATTTCAGATAGCAGACGCTGTTTGGTGGTACTACTTCTCCAAACTGCTCGAATTCTGTGACACATTCTTCTTCATTCTAAGGAAGAAGGATGAACAGCTGACATTCTTACACGTGTACCATCACTCCACTATGTTCTCGTTCTGGTGGATCGGCATCAAATGGGTGCCGAGTGGATCCAGTAAGTAGTGATTAGTTAATTTTCCATTTAATAAATTACCTTCATGACTTTTCAACTAAGGAACGAATCTGTCTCACATCATAGAAACTTTGTGTATTATTTTACATTTCTGACTGACTGTCTAGTGAAGAAAATATCAACAACAAACTATTGAATAATCCGATATAAATAGAAATAGAAATATCTTCATTCAAACAAATTTAAAACATTATTGTGAATAAAATTTATTTTTATTCTAACACTAATTCGGAACACAGACACATCACAAAATGAATGAGCAAAAAACTTGCGCGTTGCATTCTTAAATAAATATTGTTCTAAGTATATACAAATTAAAAAGGATTAGGCATGCGACAATTAATATAGAAACTACGTTTTATAGTTACGTATTCAATCGTTGTGCAATTATGAATTTTAAGTTAGATTAATAATTTACTCACTTTCCCGAGGAGATAAAAACCATCGCTCCTAAGAATATCCTTCAATTCTTGTTCCTGACGGGTCTAGGTAGCGAACTCTGAGAAAGGGCGAGCACAATAGATCTATGTAGGTAGTGCTACAGGTGCAAACATCTGACAATAGCCCAAACAACCCAATAAAAAAAATAGATTAATAATAATAATAATAATAAATAACCCTGGATAATTAACACAGCTCAATCTAATCCCACGGTAAGCAGAGCTTGTGTTAGACAACTGATATTAATACATAGTTTTTTTTGTAAGTACGTACCTAATAGACATAAAATATACCCAGACTGATGCATACAATCATACTCATGAGATCACCGAGGCCGTGAAAGTCAAGATTTCTTTTAAAATACTATTTTTATGATAAATGGCTGCAGACTCGCCCCTTGCCAGTTTAAATACAAATATACCCAGCGAAGTTATTCACATATGTTCACAGTGACGTTCACAATTGGTAGTGCCTCTGTCTACCTCATGAATACTGTTCGTGATATTACATTTTTTTAATATACCTACCTATCAAAATGTGAGCAAGTCCTGAGGATCATAGATCATCATTGTTCATCGGCTTACCAAGTTTCTTTTTTTATTGTCTATGAAAATTATCAAAGTCATTAATCACAGAGTATGAATATGACTTAATCGGAGCGACAACAACTTTAAGAGCAACGACTGGCAATTGTTTATGGTTTGAAAGTCAGAAGTATCAGGTGACTTGTAACCTAGCATTTGAATTCACAATATTATGCATATTAATATTAAATATGCTAAAGTAATGTCATAACGTAAGTCTGTCTGTATGTTTGTACCTTTTCATATATAAAACACTAAACCAATCTCACCAATATTATAAACTCCAAAATTTGTGAGTATGGCTTGATAGATTATTGGACTGATATTTGTTACTTTATCACGCAAAAACTACTAACCAGATTTTGATGAAATTTTACAACAATATAGCTTATACATCAGAATAACATATAGCCTATAAATCTTGAGGGTCAAACCGTGAGTACAGTTTTTATATATTTTGGTATGGATATACTTTTCTTGAAAAGTTATAACTAGAAGGACGCGAAATTAAAGATGAAATTCTATGGACAATCAATAATTTCTCAAGTAAGGGAAAAAATATAAGTTTAAAAATATAGTTACACATATATCTAATATGTACATATCTAATATTGCGATAAAATTGGAATTGAGAATGATTTATGACTGTACGATGGACAAAAAAGAAAGGTTCGGCTTTGAATAATCGAAAAGGCGGGAAATACTTTTTCCGCCGTGTTTAACTTAACCTTTTTAGACACCTCATTTTATAGTATAACGGCACTTCTTTATTTTCTTTTTTAAATATAAATAAATAAAAAAAATTATGTAAAAAAGATATCTCAGATAAGGGGGCAAAGGGACTTGATGTTAGTAATATTGACTTATTACCCCATTACTAGCAGTCTAGCAATGAAATGTCAGGTTGACCTCCACGCGGTTTCTCCTGGAAAACATAGTGATAAATTCCTGGTCAATTTGAAACGATGGACTATCTGACTTGATCTCATGTTCATCTTATCATTCTCCACTGGTGCCCCGCCAGTGTAAACCGTTAACGCAGGAATGGTGCATTCCGCGCCATTCCATTATCATCCATAAAAAAAATATTAAATATATGCAGTTTATTGATTGAATACATTTAATTCTGAAGGTTTAGTATGCATAAATAGGTTCAAATTATGAGCTGTTATGTTAAGTAATGTTCTTGTCATATAGTCTGATGGACCCCGCATGACGTGACCATACCAACTTAGGCGTCTTTCCAAAACCTCCAGTACAGGTGTCACATTAAAACTGCCTCGAATGTGGATATTTTGGATGTGGTCCAGCATTCTTACGACACCACCCCACCTAAGCGTCGCTCAGTTTTCTTTTTTCATGCTTTTTCATTTACAAATCACTTAAAATAAAATATTTACTGTATAAAATGTTATGTAACTATTTGTAATGTTAGAACTATATATTTATTTAAAAATATAGGTCTAACATTACAAATAGTTACATATATATAATTCAGAGTTCATTCAAATGCGGGTGGTGCCAGTAGTGTTAAATTAAATGATTTGCATTGGAATTTGAAATTCGTATTTCGAATATTCGAGAATTTATGCTCGAAATACGAATTTCAAATTACTATTATACGTACTGGCTGTTACAATTTATTTTTAATTTATATCAAAATCTTTGATTATTTAAGTAGGTCTATTACACATACTGATGACAATTCAAAATTAGAAAACTTATTTGGAACGAAGTTTGCGCTGAAAATCATCAAAAAAAACTACGTTCTTTTTTCAAATTTTGTTGTCAAAAATGCAATAGCATATACTGGTGATTATTACATACTCCCTAATTGAATTTAAAAATGAATCCATTTTCTGTAATCATGTTACAAACTCATTTGAAAACAATAAGAGCTGAGGTTCTTCTCATTTCTTCTTGGCACGAAAGCAGCTACGATCTGACGGTAGATTTGACATGTCATAAGAGTCTGCAATAGACCTACATGAATAAAGATATTTTGATTTGATTTGATTAAATTATGTTACATCACTACATTGTATAAAACAAAGTCGCTGTCGCTGTCTGTCCAACCCTATGTATGCTTAAATCTTTATAATTACACAACGGTTTTTTTAATAGACATAGTGATTGAAGAGGATTGTTTTTATATATAATACATGTACACCCGTGCGAAGCCGGGGCGAGTAGCTAGTAATTTATATATCGCAAATACTGAAATTTAGATACAATATAAATTTGTTACATTTCTAAGAAGCTCTTATAGTAAACACTGTCATAAATAGAGGCAGCCCAAAACCTATAGGTTTAATGAAATGTTTTAAAATGTCTCTGTGTTTTAATTAAAAACATTAATCTGTAATACTAGGCTTTGTTTTTTTCCGGTCGCAATTTGGTTTTCCTGACAAGGGGTTAATTTGATTTTTACCCCATGGAGCATAGCAAACCCATATTGAATTTCCAAAATACGAAACACTTGTTTGACAATGAATGATTACGAGAAGGTATTGCGTATTATGTGTATGTAGGTATTAGTTATACTTTATTTCTTTTTTTATAATAATTATTTTTAATCTATGTAAATATTGACGGTTACTGGTATTCAATAATTGAATAGAAATAAGAATTATTTACAGAGTTACGACAAAAATAAGTTGTAAACATAGCTTATTCTTAAATTCTGAAAAAAATTATTAATTTTTTATATTGATAATCCCATTATTTTGACAATAGGGTAAAAAATAATTATTATTATCTATTTATCTGTAACATTTAAAAATACATAATCGTTACAAATAGATAGATAGATTTAATCATCTATACATATAAATAAAATTGGAGTGTCTGTTTGTAATATTGAAATAACCGTTTTCTACTACTTGCATATGAATATAAATATGGTAATACACCAAAAAATCACTTTTTAAAATTTTTGTCTGTCTGTCTGTCGGTCTGTTTATTCTGGCTAATCTCTGATATGTCTAGATAGATTTTAACGGGACTATTTTTGGCAGGTAGCTGATGTAATAAGGAGTAACTTAGGCTACTTTTAATTTAGAAAAATAAAGTTAAATTCCACGCGGACAAAGTCGCGGGTGCAGCTAGTGTTTTCTAAAAATCTAATAAACAATATATAAAAGTGTACTTCTCTACAAAAATACTTACAGGCCCCGACTTTTTGAAAATAACTAAAAGCTTAATGACCTACTTTTGTTGACACAGTAGGAATTTCATACTGCGTCACCAAACAGAAAATAGGTCTAAAAACAATACACTCTTTGATACAATTTAGACAAATTCCATTTCTTTGTTTTGTTACGACTAATTCGATTTACAAAAGGCAAGTTCCTTCTTATATTTACTGATATAACAAAATGTTATATGTATGGTCAGCATTTTAGCCAGTATTTTTCTACTCAACATAAAAGAAATGTGAACCTAACTTTTATTCTTTGCTCATTGTTTGTTTATTTGATCTGTTGTTGGAATTTTTGGCTTATTAAGTATTATTGTAATTGCTTTACAATATCTTTGATCTATTATATCTGCTCGTATAATAAATCGTTTTATTTTATACGAGTATTTTGAGTAGACTTCAAAAAATAGAAGTACATAAATAGATTTTTTACTTACTTAGTTACTTACTTTTATTATTATTAATACAATTGATTTTATATTAAGAATAATATTATGCTGTTCGGAATATGCTAGTGTAAATTATAAAAATAATATAATTCTCGAAGGCTCCGTTTTAATTTATTTTAAACCAATAGCGTTACAGTTTGTATTTACAATAATATATGTGGCAATAACTTAATTTAGGCTTCACTTAATTAATATAAAGTATATTATATTGACTTGAGCAACAACTAAATATAAACTAACATATAACTAAATATGAATGAAATAACTGAATATGGAAGCTATATATTTCATAATACATATATAGATTATATTTTCCATCAGATTTATTTTTAATAAACTCATTTCAACGTTCTGGATTTAATTAATTAAATGATTTCCTTCTGCGTTACTCTAACACTAATTTACATAAGGTTGAAATTAATTTAGTCTTAAAATCAACATTATCTTAATTCATATAGGCCTATAAAAGATTATGATGCTGATGTATGTATATGTATTTCCTCGTAAGTAGCTAAGGTTGGGTTTGTAATTAAGTAATGTTATTGTCTCTTTGCGCTGTCTCTCGGATTATTTTTGGATATAAAAGGAATACTATGAAATATCGGTGTTTTTATCATTAGAGAGTCAGCCAGAAATACAATCGACATACAAAGTTTGGTGTCATTCAGATTTGAACTTACGAACTTTAGGGTAAGTCGGATGCAAAACGCTTCATATAGAAATACATGCTTCATATACATATTTCTATATGAAGTGTTTTGTATATATCGCAGTATTGAAATATAACATGTTACAATCTAGTAGTCTAGCGGTTTAGCATACCGCCTTATTTCCAATGGTCGCGGGTTCGATTCCTCGCATTGTATGAACATTTTAATTCATGAGTTTATGCCAGCCTGTGTTTCAGTATGAATATTATGTATGTATTACTACCTATAACATAAGTTCTGCTTAGTTTACGATTATGTGAATTGGCCTTATCTGAATTGTCTAGGGATATTGTTTGACGTTGACGACCTCGGTGGTCTAGTGGTCTAGCACACCGCTTTACGTCCAATGGTCGCGGGTTCGATTCCTCGCACGGCACAAACATTTGTATTCATGAGTATGATTGTTTGTATCAGTCTGGGTGTTTTCTATGTATATATTTACGAAAAAAAAAACTATGTATTTGCATCAGTCATCTAGTACCCATAACACAAGCTTTAGCTAGCTTAACTTGGGCCTAGATGGCGCTGTGTGAATTGTCCTGAGATTATTTATTATTATTGTTATTATTATTCTACAATTAGTAACATATATTTAGTAGTTTTATAGTGACGATAGAGACGAGCTTATATTGCCAAGTATTATTATTGTATTATAATAATCCAGATATTCAAGTAAGTAAGAATAATCAGTCCTATCTCTAAATAGATGTTTGTTTTCATATATACTTAAATTATAAATAGTCAGGCCTAAATTCAAGGATAGTTGTTTAGTTGTTGTTACAATGTTATGTTTATGTTACAGCTTTCCTGCCAGCTATGGTCAACAGCAGTATTCACGTACTTATGTACGCTTATTACGGACTTTCAGTGTTTGGGCCGACAGTTAGCAAATATCTGTGGTGGAAGAAATACCTCACAATTTTGCAATTGGTAAGTTATAACTCATATAACTCATATATAAAACTCTCGTGTCACAATGTCACTTGCCGTACTTCTCCGAAACGGCTTGATTGATTTTTATGAAATTTTATATGCATATTCAGTAGGTCGGAGAATCGGCTACTATGTGTTTTTAATACCCCTAAGTGATAAAAGTCGTAAATCCCTAACATTTTTTTTTATTTTTTGGATATTTATTTTTTTAATATTTGCTTTAAAATACATACAACTCTAAAGCTTGATTTTAAGTTAAGAAAATTATTCTTAATGAATCAAAAGATACAGGTTCTGGCGTGAGTGTTGTTTTTTTTAATTTTCATTAACTTATTAATACCTTACAGATCCAGTTCACTTGTGCTTTAATTCTTGGCGTGAACGGCATCAGGACCGGCTGCGAGTTTCCTCTGTGGATGCACTATGTACTTATTATTTACATGATTTCTTTCATCGTCCTCTTCGGAAACTTTTACATGAAAGCGTATCTTGCGAAGGTAAGAAATATGAAGTCTTTTTCTCTCTCATCTTACTAATATTATAAAGGCAAAAGTTTATATGTATGGATGGATGTTTGTTACTCTTTCACGCAAAAACTACGGAACAGATTTTGATGAAACTTTGCAGTAATATAGCTTATCCATAAGAATAACACGTAGGCTGTTATTAAGTAAACTGTGCGCAATATAATGATAAATGTCAAATAAGCGTGATGCAGAAGAAGTTGGGCGGGTCAGCTAGTTTATTATATTTACAGTGTGATTTATAAATTCAGCGTCTTTATGTATCTTAGAAAATTAATCATTTGGTAAAGTTTGTAATTATTACAGAGGCGTCAGTTTTTATCTTTGTTGTAAATTTGGTAGATATCATAATATTGCCTATAAATCAATATCTCAGCTATTTTGTTTCAAACTAACTAGAACTTTTAACATTATCTACTTACTAAACAACAGATAATAAATTAAGCATATTACAATTACTTCTGTATCTACTTAGTATGACCCGTAACTTTAACCTTTTAAATAATATTGGATTTCGAGATTTAAAATGTATAAAATAATAATAAAAATAATCTGAAGCCCGTCCTTGTCGTCATATCGAATGTATACGTGTATATGTATATGTATATATACATATACACGTATACATTCGACAGCAATATGCACTACCGTCATGACAATACTCATACCTATAGAAAACTACTTTACCAGTGAGAAAACAGGACTGTTTCATATTTCAATAAATTTAAAGACCCTGCAATTATTACACAAGTTATTAAATCATCATCTATACATAGTATAAAATAAAGTAGCTGTCGCTGTCTGTCCCTATGTATGTAAAAATCTTTAAAACTACGCAACGGATTTTGAAACATTTTTTTAATATATTATATATATATAGAGATAGAGTGATTCTAGAGGATGGTTTATATATAATACATGTACACCCGTGCGAAGCCAGGGCGAGTAGCTAGTAAAAAATAAACGCACGATACTCAAAAATTCGTACCAATCATTAGAATTGAGGTATGCGTGAACTAAACTCTGAAAAGTTCACAGTTGTTTAAAAATAAGTTAACAAACTGTACTTCTGTAACTATACCTATAGATAATGTGTCGATATAAACAATAAAAAATCAAATCAAATCACCGTTTATTGGTATAAACATCAACAGGTACAAAATAAATGTCTTATAAAAATAGATCGTCTTCCCTTAACATTATTGGGCGAACAAATATTATTATCCTTAACTAAATATTATACAACTATTTATGTTACATTACATTAATTAGTAGTAATTATTTTGTATCTTTCGTTGTTATAATTATTTCTTGTTTTAGTAAGAGTTTTTTATTCATTAGCTGTTTCCTTTTCTATTTATTAGTTAGTGGTTCTCTCAAATTTGCTCGCATGTGCCATATGTTTATAGAAAATATGATCAAACGACACCAATATTTGAAGCATCTATTCGAGACTTTCCATTATATAGTTAGAGAATAGAAAATATTCACATAATTAATTAATTTTCCTTTAGCCTATATATTACCCATAAGTATGGGTGAATTATGGCAAAATTAATTTGTTTTTAAGTAACAACAAATTCTATGAAAATTTTATCTTAATTCCTCCAGTTGTTTTTACGCGAAACCTTAACTCAAACTAGTGACAAACAGACATATATTAAGATTTTATTATATGTAAAAGTATATTTTAGTGATGTCAACATTTTTATAAATTATTGCTCTATTCCCGACGTTGTTCGGGTGGAATATGCAGTAATATACCTTTTGTTGATGTAGCTTTAACAACCGAATAATTTAGAAAAGAAAATCTGTAGAATAATTTAAAAAAACTATAAGAGAGTCACATGCTGGCCATGAATATAGATGCCGGTGGGCCTTTATCTAGTGTTACATATGAATGTGGATTGCTATAAGAGCAGAGGAAGGCCGGAATAGAGATGGAAGCACTGTGTGAAAGATGATATGATAAGAAAAGGTAAATAACGAGCTGACTGCGAACAGAGAGGAATGAAAGAGAAAAACATATTATGCCGACCCCAAATAAATGGGATAAGGTACAAGCAGATGATGACGGGTTTTTATCTAGTTTCGCATTCCAGTTATATAAACTATCTATTGTCGATAAAATAACGAGTAGTTAAATTTTTAATAAGTTTGAATATTTGTATGATTTACGTTATTCAAATTCGTTTAGCTGTTCGTGATTGAGTGGTAAGTTGGTTTTGTAAACATCAAAATTGAAATTCTACCTTTAATTAATAATTAATTTGAGATTAATTTATAAAAATTATTTGGGATAATTGTAAATAACGCCTGAAGACAAACGGCTCTATAATTATAAAAACAAAATAATTTCAGAAAAAGAAATATTCTTTATTCGTATAAAATTAATAAAAGCATATTTTTCGTTTGTTATCTACTACTCTTTTGGATCAATCGCATAATTCGACTTTCTATATTATTCGACTTTTGGAATAAAACTCTGGATTATTTTTCCACGGGTTCGATTCTCACGTAAAATAAACATTCATATTCATAAGTATAAGCAATTATTTGCTATTAAGTATACCCATCATTTGACGATTACCCATAATCAAAGCTCTACTTAGTTCGAGACTGGATAGCGCTGTGCGAACTGTTTTAGTTTGAAATAAAATGTACATACACGTCCAATTACTCTGCTTTAGCGGAAAATTTCAATTCCTGTTCGTTTTTAATATTTTGGATAAAATATGCCATTAAAAAAATAATAACAAACCTTTATTTCAAGAATTGTTATTACAATATTAAGGCTACAATTCATATAACTGACCCTTACAATTAAAAAAGAAACGTCAAAAACGATTTACGACAACACGCAAAAAAAAAATCCAGTCTAATTGAGAGACTCCACTTTTTGTAAGTAGGTTAAAAAGACCCGTCGGCATTCACAAAGTAACACGCGATAATAATGTTGTAATCAACGTCGAGATCCGTTACGTAACTGAAAGTTCTGAGAGAAAGTGGCGTGATGCAATCTCGGACAGATTCGTTCCACTGCCTCTTGCTTTCATACAAATCATTCAGTTGTAACGCAGTTATATTATGTTTGTTATATAATATTTTTATTGGTAGATGTAATGATTTTTCTTACGGTGTTTAAATGTTTTTTACTTGTACTAGAGGTCATTAGTGCCTTCCAGAAATTGTCTACAATTATGAGTATAACAATAATAATATCTCAGAAAAATTCACACAGCGCCATCTGATCCCAAACTAAGAAGAGTTTGTGCTATGAGTACTAAACATCTAGCACTGGACGTTGTATCCATCTACCGATTGTTTTAATACATGAGAGTTATTTTGAGGAATTACCCGGGGTATCTACCACTAGACTACGATGCTCTCTCAATAAAATATTATTTAAATCTAAATATAAACTATGAAATGTAAATATAACACACTACGAAAAAAAATATATTCTTGACTTGGCCTTCCAGGGTATCTACATATGTATCTCTCCTATTATTTATAAATAAATTTAATTATATGTAAAATATTAATTGAAAGACTCATAACTTTATTTTTATCAATATCCCCTTATAATAAAGTTACCTTTAGCAATAGCTAAAAACATTTTTTTCACGGCAATCTTAGGGTAACGGATATAATTGAGGAACATAAAGTGTCATACAAATGAAGAAATACTTTAGAATAGATATATTTTTTATTATGTAAAATATTTGTAAAAAGAAATAAACTATTGATATAAGATATTAAATAATGATTATATTTGTTACAGGGCACCAAATGTATGGAAGTGCGATATGGACAGTGCCTCGACGATGACGAAACTATCGCCAAAAGAAAACTGAAAAACAACTGAACCTCCTAGTTTTAAGTTTATTTATTTCAACCAGTAATATTATAAAGTAACGTTTAAAAGTATATTATTAATTACAGGGATAAACAAAAGCTGTAAGGATAATAAAGTTGTTATGTTTGGGTAGTTTATTTTTTGTTCCTAATTTTTCCCATTATCCCGAAATTTACCAATATATGGTAGCCAGACAATTTATTTATATATATTACTTTTATAATGTGCACCACCTTTTGTCTTATATCTTATATTTAACCTAATTAAGTGGATTAAAATTAAAAAGGTGTCTTGGAAGGAGTTCATTAGGGATAAGATTATTGAAGATGTATTACTACTTATTAAAACTTCTTATGAAGATTAATAGATACTACTTACTGCCATTCTATTTTACATGTAAATTGATTATTTTAATCCTTTATCATATGTGTGTGTATAAATAAATAGGATTTGTTTAAATAAATCCATATGTCGCTGGTTCAGATCCGGCTCGAAGGACCAATTATTGGGTTGTTCCAAAACTATAATAAATGACAATAATAAACTCGGGAAAATACACACAGCGCCATCTAGACCCAAGTTAAACTAGCTAAAGCTTATTTCATGGGTACTAGGTAACAAATATAAATACATACAAATATATTTTTTTACGTAAATATATACATATTATACATAGAAAACACCCAGACCGATACAAAAAATCATACTCAGGAATATAAAATTTGATGCCTTGCGAGGAATCAAACCCGCGACCATCGGGAGTAAGGCAGTGTGCTAAACCACACGACCACCGAGGCCGTCAAAGATACTCATAACTAATAAAAAAGATAAATAATACCGCACATTTGAATTGATAATTTAACTACCTAACGATAAATGGGTATTCAACGTTCTTGATTACTGAATGCGAACTGATTTTGGTGAAATATGACAATGTGAATTAAAATATTAATGCCGCGAAATAATATACTGTACTAGCATAGTAATTATATATCCTTTAATATAAATCTAGATAAGATAATTACAATAAAATATTGAAGTACCGGCGATACAATATATGTATACCAGTATACCAACGAAGTGACTGTCGATATATACCAATTTATACCAACCGTTCCTCCTTTCTGTACAAAGCAATAAACTGAGTTATGGCCATTTTGTGTTGCTGCCGCGTATTTCTTTTCATCTTTGTACTTTTTGTTTTTATGACTGTAACGTCTGTTTTTATTTTCCGTTACTCTGTGATGGCAATAAAAATAGCTTCTCTATACATTTTCCACCTAGTGCCACTTGCCTTGTAGTGAAGAAAGGAGCAGATCGCTCCCACGTTTCATGTTATAGCATATTATTCAAGTCCTAAAACTATCTATCTATCTCTATCTCAGCTTTTTAAGATTCCAAACAGCATCCAAAACGTTAGTTTTTGTGAGCTACATTTCGGTTAAATAGAAATTATAGTAGAATTACATCTGTTCCTCCGGAATAGCAATGCATGAGTTCTTGTTTATACCTATATATATTACATATATATGAGGACGTGAGCAAAATACATATTTTTATAACTAAGTAGTGCGTATAATAAAGAAGAGAGATTCCTCTGAGAGAAAGTCACTTGGTAGACCAGTCCTCTCCGATCGATCTCGCGTCCAATTCAAACGGGTATTGAAATTATGACGGCTTTGACTGTGGTTCGAACCCCTAGCGGCGTCCTCAGACTAAAATTGTATCCCTGTATATAAATATCCATGTATATAAAACCCCTCCGATCGATCCCCCGTCCAATTCAACGGGGATCGATGTTACGACGGCCTGAGCCGAGGTTCGAAGCCCTAGTGGTGCTCTCAGACTAAAGTCGTATCCGTCAGGCGGGAGTTGGCCATCAGCCGCTCCATAAGTCCTACCGCGAGTTTAGAGTGCCATCTGCACTCGCCCCGTATCGTCAGGAGAAGCTGTAAAGGTCAGAAAGGCCAGCTGCAGCCAACAGCATTAGAATAGACCAACCATAAAGTATTATATATATATTTGTTAGTCATACATCATATTTGACATCATATAAACAGGGTGAACAAACAGTAAAATTAAAAAATATAATAATTTAAAATATATTTAATTTAATTCATGCCTGTAATAAATTACATTTGTTGGCACTGCGCTCTAGCCATATAAGCTACCTTCTGCCCCCTCTGAACAACTTCAGGGCACCGTTTGCGTCGAAGCAGCTTGCAGTCCTGGAAGAAACCCTCATTTCGCGGAAACCCATTACTTCCGTCGCTGAATGTCACGAGACCTGACGAAAGAGAGAGACTTTGTATATTTTATATTGATCCTTACCGTACAGTTAAAATTATATCAAATTATACTCTGAACTATTTACATTATTTTTATTATAAACACACCGCACAGACAATCACTAATAATATTGCTCCTTTTTATTTTATATTTATTTTAATTATTATTTTCACGTACCCTCAAATGGGTTAAAGCTGAAAATCAGTGTTTTGTTCCCTGAACAATGTTCCACGCCGGGCTTCGATATTTTTGTATTGCTACAGATCACACATAATAACACAATTTTATAAATCTTATGTCGTATTATGTACTGTCTATTCTTATGAACATGTTGTGTGTGTGACTAGTAACAAAGAAATAAACGATATATCTATCTATCTATTATATATTTATATGTGAGTGTATTTTAATTTAATTTAATATTAATTATTGATATTATTTGTATTTTATTTTTGTGTATGTATTTTGTGTCTCTACGTACTAACATTAATTATAAGAAACAATACTAACAAAATGGGCAAGTAATGTAATATTGGCCTGATAATAAATCAATATTATTGTTATTACGACGTTCCATGTGATGGACCTTCATATTGATTGTACTTCCAATATTTATATACAAATAAGATAGATAGATTGTGTGAAAGATGTTTATGTATGTATGTGTGTTTATGTATAAAAGGAGAGTAACGTTCAGTGGAAGAAGATGACTTACTGCGCCGACTCCAAATAAAATGGGAAAAAGGCAAGATAATTATTATATATATATATTATGCACGTATACCGTACATATAGAACTTTGTTCAATAAATGTGTTCAGTATTGTTAAAGTCGTATCACGAAAAATAGTTAAATAAACTTATGTATAAACAAACACTACGAACGAAGCTACGAAATAAAATATTACGATCTGTATCTCTTTTAAATTCTTCGATAAGCCACAAAAATTGCTTTGTCATCGTATATACCTATACGATGTTTCTATTGCATTATTAATATCTAGTACAATATCTAGTCACAACACAAGTTTTATCCTGTAATTCTAGATTCACGGGTATTAAATATACGTGCTCAAAATACATGTAAGGTACTAAAGTGGAATTTAGGATTGCGAGACTCGCAAAATATATTTGCAGTACGAAGTTATGACAATATATTATATATATATAACTAGCTGTCCCGACAAACGTTGTTTTGCCTTAAAATAAAAAAAATATTTAGGGGTGGACTACCCCTAACATTTAGGGGGATGAAAAATAGATGCTGGCCGATTCTCAGACCTACTCAATACGCTCACAAAATTTCATGAGAATCGGTCAAGCCGTTTCGGAGGAGTATGGGAACGAAAATTTTGACACGAGAATTTTATATATAAGATATATATTTTATGGGTCAATATATGTTACAATTTAAATCAATTCTCAACTGAACTAGCTATAATTGTATTATAACGGTATTGATGGGGTTAAAAAAAGTTAAGTACTTGCATAAGTGGCCGAGAATGACTTAAATGTTTAAAGAATATTACTCTATGTATAACAAAATGTAATGAATATTTCTATGTAAATTTATATCATTATAAGTTATTAAAATAACACGATTCATAAATAAATCTGGAAATAATTACTATTTACAAAAAGCAATAAATAATTGTTTATTAATTATAGTAAGTAAATTATAAATATAATTTATTTTTAAATATAATTTAAGGTAGAGATTTTTTTATAAATAAAATTCATTCTCTTTCTCTTTCGCTTATTTGTAAAAAAAGTTGCTGTACTGTCAGTTTATATATTACAAACAAAAACTTGAAACTTTAGCTTACTAATATTATTTTAGAAGGAACTTACTCCATTATGTAAGTCCTTAGTTCCGAAAGATTTTATAAAATGCCTACTTTCACAATACTTCATGACAAATCACATCACAAAACTTTTAAGAAAGAGAGATCAGGAACTTTTAATAACTTGCCTTAGTCACATTTATCCTTATAATTTTTTTTTTTAAATTAGTATTAAGATATATCAAAGTGTACATTGATACACGTGAAACAGTCAGTTTTAATAGTGACAAAATACTCGACCAATATATTTTTGAATGTAATGGAAACAATAATCATTTCAATTTTTTGTACTGTTAAGAAATCATAGACAGACCACATGTCTGTTCATTTCTTCTTGGAATTAGAACGGAAATAAACTGACAGCCTGCCTGAGATGGTAAGCGGTATACATGAACAGCACTACCGCTATCACGTTATTATGTAACCCCCGTGATATCACTTATGCGTTGCCACTCCAGAGTATGATGTCATGCTTCTTATCCTATAATTTCAATTACTTATTCCATACTATATAGTACAACCGTATCATAGCTGACAAAGCAAGTTGCTATATGTAGTATAGAAAAATAAATATTTCAGACATGACCTGAAATAGTCATTTTTTATAGTACAATGATGGTAAACATGCATACGGCCTATCTGATGGTTAACGGTTACCGTAACCTTGAAACGTCTGTGTATTTAAACTGTGTATTTTATATGGATTTTATGTCGTTAGGTATGAAATTAAGGTGTAAATAAATCGTTGGTCTATCAAATTACATATAATTTCTTTGAGGATATACATAAAAAATTGGAGTATAGCTATCTTCTAAGTCTAATATTTTAAATCATGTTAAAACTGTGAATACGAGATGACAGGCGATAATATATTTAAAAAATCTTTCTTTTTTAACAATATTTTAGCAGAAATAAAAAAGACAAGGGCCTGTATTAATCTAACAGCAATAACGTGACGTCATACATATGAAAATCAAACGCGTAACAAATATCACTTATAACATATATGACAAACTTTAAAATATTGCTAAATAAATAAATAAATTTCCCTTCAATAAAATTGAAGCTGGTGGCCACACCAGCATATGCTATATACTCTATAATTTGAATTTAAAAATGAATCTTCATTTTTGTAGACATGTACAAGGTCATTTGAAAAGTATAAGAGCTGAATTTCTTGTCTATTCTTCTCAGCTCGAAGGAACTTCGAACTGACAGTAAATTTAACATATCATAAGAGTCTGTAATAGATCTAATGAATACAGAATTACAGATATTTTGATTTGATTCGATTAGTATAAAATAGACATTATAATTAATAATCTTCATTCATAAATAAAATTTTAGTACTTTTGAAGTACTACGAAAAATATCTGTTACTTTAAAATATACTAGAATAAAATGGATATTATAATCTTTAGTTAATAAAATTTTAAGTACTTTTGAGCAGTTATTTTCAACTATAAATATTATTTTCAATCATCTCAAATTCACTTAAAATTCAAGCGCCTACGATATTCTAAAAGCAATCATGTACTATAGTAAATTAAAAGTAATAAAAAGAAGTATCAAATCAATTTATTTCTTCATATAATATGTTTCATTTTTGTTAACACTTTATTGCATCGACATTGAAAGGACATTGAAAGGTCAAAATTAAAAGATTGAAATAAAACGAAGTACAAAAGGCGATCTTATCGTTAATGGAATCTTTTTCAGACAACCTTTGGAAAAACAGTACTTACTAAAAATAATGTACGTGGTTATATTATTGACTTCTTGTTTATAAAGTCTAAAATATATTAGGAACATATTGACTATTAGAGTAATTTACATTCTTTCAAACCAAGATAGCAATAGCTAGAAAATAATTTTCTGAATAATTACCAGAATTCACACAGCGTGATCTAGTACCAAACAAAATGATTACGTGCTGTGGGTACGAGAAAACTTTGGAACTCTAGGGAGTTCAAATTTACACCCCAATTTTTCCTTCAATTCAATTATGGTAAACAATTAGGCAACAACACTAGGGAATGAGTAGTAAGTCGTGTGATATTTTAGTGGGTAAGAATTCACCTTCTCCTCAAATGGAATTCTCGGTGAAGATTTTCCGCACCCAAAAAAATAAGTGATTCTTTAGAGCTTCTATTAAATAAAGAAAAAAATGTTTTATGTGGATAATTGGAATGGCAAACAATCTGCATTGGTGATAGTAAATCGTGATTGTTCTCTCGTATACATGAACAGCGCTATCATACATTATGTTATCTGTGGCACTATCATTACAATACATCTTGTGACGACCTTGATTTATGGAATTATTATTTTAAAACACATCAATAATTAATACACCACTTACCTTAATAATATACATAACTTTTGCCAAAACACAGCTTACAAAGTATGCTGCTTTCCGACTGAAATAGGTACTACTCAGGTATATAACGACTTTTTACAAAGTCTTCCTTGGTCATCATCATCATCATTATTTCAGTCCCGAAGATGTTCACTGCTGAACAAAGACCTTCAAATTCAAATTCAAAATATCTTTATTCATGTAGGTCTATTACAGACTCTTATGATATGTCAAATCTACCGTCAGTTCGGAATGATATCGAGATGAGAAGAACTGACAAGAAACTCAGCTCGTATTTTTTTCCAAAAAAAAACCTTCTGCAAAAATCTCTACGACGATCGGTCCTGCGCTGCTAGCATCCAGTCTACGCATGTCCACATTGGTACAAATTAAATATAATTCTTACCCAAACCCCAAACTCTTCCGCCACGGAACTCCCCCTCGTACTTCATCCCATCAGCTCTCCAGAATACACCGTGACCATGAAACCAACCCTGCATGAACTCGCCTTCATACCTATGAAATAGAACTAAAATTGACTTTTGTTTCAACTACTGAATATCAAAATATCTTTATTCATTACGGTCTACAGACTCTTATAATTTGTCAAAAATTCTTAGGAAGAACTTACAAGAACTTTAGCTCTTATTTTTTTGAAGTGAGCTTGATATATTTTCAAGAATACAGTTTAATATTTAAATTCAAATTAGGAAGAATAAAGTGACCTCCAGCACATGCTATTGCAATTTTGTCAAAAGGAAATAGAGTTGTCAGTGTCTGTAACCCAAACAGACAAGACAAGTTACTACTCACCTTATTGAAATTATATAATTATGTGTATTTATCTCGGCCGGCCTATGACGACCTCGGTGGTCTAGCGGTTTAGCACACCGCCTTAGTTCCTGAAGTCGCGGGTTCTAGTCCTCGCACGGAATAAACATTTGTATTCATGAGTATGATTGTTTATATCATTTTGGGTGTTTTCTATTTATGATATACATGTATTTAAGAAAAAATTATCTATGTATTTGTATCAGTTATCTAGTACCCATAACACAAGCTTTAGCTAGCTTAACTTGGGACTAGATGGGGCTGTGTGAATTGTTTTGTTAATATCTTTTCTTCAATGCATGTTACAAATAAAGAATATTTTATCTATTCTCTAGTTGAATGCTTCTACGTAACTTCGTTCCCCATGGTTCCCCATTCGTTCCCCCAGGTATTTGGAATAACAGTAGTTCATAATTGTTTGTTTGTGAACCGATTGGAAACAAAACAAACATAAAAAGTTAAGTTTGCTACAATACATCAATAAAAACAGCAAATAAATCTGTTAAGCAATTTCTGATATTAGCGTGCGTGGACACGCACAGATAAATTGAATAAGAATCTAAAAACCATTATTGAGGTAGATAGCATATATAAAAAGTATTAAAATTGTTATTTTTTTTAATATTTAATGTAAAATATAATATTACAATGGAATAAATAAATAAATAACACTGAACAATTAACACAGAGCCACCTAGTCTCACTTAATGTGAGCAGAGCTTGTGTTGTGTATACTAAACAACTGATATAAATACTTAAATATTTTTTGTGAATACATATGTAGAAAATATCCAGACTCATGAATACAAATGTTTGCACCGTGCAAGGAATTGAACCCGCGACCATCGAAAGTAAAGTGGTATTGTAAACATCTAGACCACAATGGCCGTTATGTAATAATATATATATATATATATAAATTCTAACTGCAAGCGACCTACCGGCTGCGCACGGGTGGTCATCTGTACTATAATATGCATGTATTATATGTATAAATCTTCCTCTTGGATCTCTCTTGTATCTACTGCTGAAAAAAGTATTAAAATCCGTTGCGTAGCTTTAATTTTTTTTAAATATTATAGTAGAGACTGCAGCTAGCGCTGTTTTACGTTTGTAAAGATAGTTGTAGGAGAAAATTCAGTACGAGTACACAATATTACGTTATCTGTGGTACTAAGGAATACAACCAATATATTTTTGTACCAACATATTCGTCAATTTGTATGGTGCTGTGCATGTCTTTAACTTCAACTTCTTGTTGCGTATCGCAACACCGACCACGGCAATGTACCTGTCCCGCTTACATTACGCTACCAAGGAACAGGACATTGTCGACTATATCCGGACGAAAAGTAACCTGACATTGAGGGTGACGCAGCTGGAATCAAGTCACAACGCGGACTTCAAAGCGTTCGTGGCCCAGGTCCCCACCAATATGCTGCCCACCTTCACGAAGGAGGACTGCTGGCCGAAGGGGGTGGTCTACCGGCTCTACCGTGGGAGATTACCTTCGTCGTGATCATAGAGACAATTTTATTTTTACTTTTTATTATTGTTTCTTATATATGTCAGTATTATATTGTATATAACGTATGTATAATATGGGCCATGTAGCCTGAATTAAATGAATAAATAAAATAAATTTAAATAACATTTCCCAATATACAACATTTTATGTATCCGATACATAATATGTATTGGATACATAATGTAGCCTTGATACAGTTCGTTTTCAGCCTCTTCCATGTATAAGACCTTCACAAGGAAAATTTATTGTTTATCGCACAAACTGTCGTTATATACGCAAAATGTAAACGTGTAATTGATTCTAATCTGCAGCCACTTCCGTTTTAGACTTAAAATAATAAAGTGATCCTTGTATGTATTAGCATAGAAATCAAAATTAGTCAACCAGCGGCAACGAGGATGTGCGTGTCCTTTTTTATGCGTGCGTGCGTAATTCGAATATTCCTGTATTCATAGTACTTTTATGTGAATTTCCTGGGAATATACCATCACTGTTTCATATACATGGCAAATGCTTTTTTTTATAGCAAAGTGTTGACATTAATAACCTTTTGGAAATAAGAGAAAGCAGCAGCAGCAGTTTAATCTGCTGCTGCTTTCTCTTATTTCCAAAACAAAGGCAGCAAACGAACTCGTCACCTGATGGTAAATGATTACCGCCGCCTATAAGGACTCGCAACACCAGAGGAATTGCAGATGAAGCGAGCAACGCCTTTTAAGAAGGGGTGGCTAGAGAAAATGATTAGGAAATTGATGAATGGTCTGTAACTATAGCGAGTTGAATATACTATTATTAAGTAAATACCAGACATAAATAGATGTATAGGCATAATGTTCCCAAGAAAGCTAACAATAAAGTCAAAAGGCGACATGAAAAATGGTAAAATGTGTAAATGGCAGTCTGCCCTTGATAGGCAGATAGATCCTTTTATAAAAATATTTACACTCTTGGATTTATATATATGTATGTACATATATTTCACATTCCATCAATGGTATTTCCGAACCGATACTATATTGAAACCTTCAAGAAAAGAGCTTATTCCTTCTTAGAAGGCCGGCAACGTACTTGCAATTTCCCAAGTGATGCGGGTGTTCATGGACGGCAGTAATCACTTACCATTAGGCGAGCCGCAAGCTTGTTTGTCCTCTATACTATAAAAAAAATATTTTTGCATTTTTATATAATAATACTAGCTGTCATGCAAACGTTCTTTTGCAAAAAATAATATCTTTATTAAAAAATATGTAGGGCTTGGTGATAAATAGATGAAAATTTGTGTTGTTTTTGATTGTAATATTTTTAATGCCACATTATAATTAAATAGAAATAAAATAAATATGTCTATAAAGTAAAAAAAAAAAGGGTGAGTCACCCTTAACATAGAAAAATAGTTAGAAAAATATATTTTTTTTTTACACCTACTGAATATACATATAAAATTTCATCAAAATCGGTCAAGCCTTTTCGGAGGAGTATAAACTCGAAACCTGTGACACGAGAATTTTATATAATAGATATTTATCTCACTCCACTCACATTGGCTGAAGGGCGTCCGGAACCTCGACTCACGTACCTCATGATGCGGAATGCTACCCACTTAACGTCGTTATCATTAGTAAAACGTTCTGATATTTCCTAGTTCAGGCGACACAAACGCGTGTTCACAGCGTGTTCTACCACTTAAGAAATTGTAATCGTAACAGACTGCTGGCAAGTCTTTAATATGAGATTCAATACATATTAATATAGGAGCACCCACTATAACATGATAACTATACATAACATAGTATTTTTATGTTTAAATGTGACTCAATGAGAAGAGAGTTCTATAATTGCTTTAAACTTTTTCTTTTGATTCTTTACAATTTGTATCGGTATTATTTGTAGGTATAGATAATTCTTCGGTGGTTTTATGTGTTACACACCGCTATTCTTCGGCTAGTCGCGGGTTCGATTCCTCAATATTTATATTATTATGATTGTATGGACTATTATTTTTATTTATAAGTTCCCAATGTGTTGATACTGTCACATACGTCCTGGGCGACTTATAGGACGTATATATAATGGGGACAATTCTACACTTGATATATAGATAGTTAAGATTATTTTCTCACGTAAGCTGTACGGATATGTCATATGATGTTAAGAGAGATATATGGGGACAAAACTAAACCAATTTGTCAGGACGGAGGATCGTCATTATCTGATCCTTCCCCACAGAGGAAATGACGATAAGATATAAGTATGGTCTAAAAGAATTTCAGCGGATGACAGTTGAATCAAACGTATATATATATATAGTAATATATGCACAAATATACAAATAAATGTGTACATAGCGAACTTAACACCTTGCAGTGTTTCCTCCCTATCAACTAAAGGTCAAACAGTGACATGTGAACGGTACTTTGATCTGATTAAATAAACATACATATATGACCATACTTATCTACATAGAATATACAATATAAAAAAATACATGTATGTCTATATATATATATATATATATACATACGGTATATATGTAAGATGGACGTAAACTCTTTTTATTTAATCATCAAAAATATAAAATACATTTAGTGGTATTTTTTTTATTAGGAAATCCTTATTTAAATGCTGGTAGGCTGCCAGTTGAAGAACATCGAATAAGAGTAAAGTTAGGACGTTAGCCTATTGTGGCCAATTGACCAGTTTTCAGAATAAACAGTTAACATAATTATAGCCCCGGATTGCGTTATGGGTACGGTTACTTGACAACTTATATAAATACTTAGATATATTATTATAATTATATTGAAAATCACCCAGAGAGATACAAAGAATCATAGTTGTAAATACAAATGTATGTAGCGTGTGAGAAATCGGAAGGAAAGTGGTATACTAAAGCCTCCGAGATCCTCATTACTTATTATATTATGTACTAGCTACTCGCCCGGCCTTCGCATAGGTGTACATGTATTATATATATAAACCATCCTCTTGAATCACTCTAATTATTAAAAAAAAAACTAAACAAAATCAGTTGAGTAGTTTTAAAGATTTAATCATAAATAGCGACGCACAGACAGCGAGAGCGACTTTGTTTTATACTATGTTATGATTATCGATATAAAAAATTCTAAAACATCATGACATTGACTCAATAGTTATGTAATATATTATCAGTATTAAAAATACACTTGTATACAGAAAAAAATATTGCACTTTTATCTCTGATTCCGACTATACATTTACAGCTTGGTTTAATATATATAGTTTTACTTACTTGGCTCCATCTGGAAATGCCATTACACCAAGTCCTGAACACAATCCATTAATCATTGCTCCGTCATATCGCGTCCCATCTGGAAGCACTAAGTGTCCCATACCATGCTTCTGTCCCTTTGAATTCCACTCACCAACGTATCTCGTCCCATCCTCATATTTATATGCGCCAGTTTTTACTACGCCTGGATCTACAACTGAAACAAATAATTGATTGTTAGCCATATTGTAGACGAACTTGATAGTATAGCAGTGACGCACACTATCTTTCATTCCCATGATTGCGGGTTCGGTGTTCATCTGATAAAACAAATAATTATATTAAAATTAATTGTTATTATCGTAGAATAAAAAACCGGAAGTGATAACACTATTAATTTTTATTATTTTAATTAATTATTGTATACGAGTATACAGCAGTCTCTCAATGTCACCTTTTTTTCGTATACGTATAAAATTAATTTAAATTTCGTAAAACCTAGTGAACACCTATAAAATTTTCTACTTTTGTTGGAAGTAATCTCTTTTTACAGGTATACTCGCCCTTGTATATTACATTCATCATATTTGTTTTCCTGTAAAATGTAAACAATAAATAATATGTCCACGAAAAATATATTTATGTTTATTTTAGGTAAAATTTAAACGTTCATAATTTTAAAATATGTTCGGATATTCACGGTCGTAACGTAACGTCAGCAATAAAATCGTGCATGTCAGTACTATTTATCAGAAAACGTGTCACATTCAGTACCGAATATATATGTGTATGTTTATTAACCTGGTTTGTAGATCACAAAAGTTGTCAGTTCGAATCCGATTAACAAATTAATGATTGATTAATATTTTCATGTTTGAATAAGAACTTATATTTTTAACTTTTTTTTTTACTTTGTAAAAAGTAGTCTGCGTAAGTATCTCTTCTTCTCTACAGGATACTGCAAATTGAACAAACATATGGCAAACCTAGGCCTATGTACAACAAAAATCTGCAGATTTTGCCAAACTGAAGTGGAAACGCCACTACACATCCTATGTGGTTATAGCTTACTCATACATACATGTAATATCTCATTTGGAAAGTTTACACTCTATCCTGCGGAGACAAAAACCATCGCTCCTAAGAATATCCGTCAATTCCTGTCTCTGACGGGTCTAGGTAGCGAACTTTGAAAAAGGGCGAGCACAATAGATCTATGTAGGTCGCAGTGCTACATGTCCAAGCACTTGACAATAGCCCAAACATTCCCAATAAAAAAAAATCTATGTCTACCTGTTTTAGCTACAAAACAGGTTGGTTTTGTAACCTGTCTTTTGATGTGGGGCCAGATTGAAGCAATGAAATTACAGGATAATCAATGAGATCAAGATGGTTGATACATGATAACGCGATGTCATAGTGCTGTTCATGTATAGCTATAGGTGACTTACAATCTTGTGGATAGGCATCTGTTTGTATTCTAATTAAAATATAACAACTTTCATATTTACAATATTTTAATTTACAATTTAGTACAATTGTCTAACAGCACTTCTATTCAACTCATTCGCTTCTATTTATGAAATAATAATAATACAGGCCACAATAAAAATCATTGACAATTCATACAGCGCCATCTAGTCCCAAACTAAGCAGAGCTTGTTTTATGGGTACCAGGTCACTGATAGAAATGTAATACTCAGATATTTTTTTTATTCTAAATACATAGTTGTTTATTTCGATTATTATATATACGAAATAAACAACTACAAACAATCACACTAATGAAAACAAATATTTTTACAGTATGAGGAATCTAACCCGTGACCATTGAAAGTAAAGCGATATGCTAACTACTAGACCTCAGAGGGCATCAAAAAACAACTACAATTAATAAGATAATTATTAAAATAATATAATAGTCAAATTAATTTCTACAGAGATACGAACCATCCACCATTACGAACTAACGAACTCTGTAATGTTCACTGAAGCACTGGAATGGTTTCAGCATGAGCCTACATCAAAGCAGCAAATTATACCCATAATTGAATTACGGATAAGAATGACGCATATTTAGAACATTAAACATAATTAGTTTATTTTTTTAATTTTAAATGTTTATTTTTAAATTTGGAATCATTATTTTGAAATGAAATTATTTATTGCAATGAATGTGGTAATTATACAGATAGAGATGTACTTCTAGATCAGAGTTCCCAAACTTTTTTGTGTCGTAGACCCCTTGCCATATTTTTTGGTTTTGGGTAGACCTGGTATTGATTTTTTGTAAATTTCTAAATGTAAATAGAAATAGAAATAGAAATAATCTTTATTCAAACAAACTCATTACAAGCACTAATTCGGAATGCAGATTCATCACAAGAAGAACGAGCAAGAAACTTGTGTGTTGCTCTTTTGAATAGATTTTTTTTATATAAATTACAGTATATCAAGTAAGAGGCATGCGATAATCAACATAGAAATCGCTACGTACTCATTATTAGTATAATTAGTGTGTAAAGTTTAGTATTAAAAACATAAAGTAAAAACAACAAGATGACCGCTCTCGTAGAACCCTTGCAGTTTGTCATAGACCTCTGGGAGTCGATATAGACCACGTTGGGAATCACTGTTCTAGATAATAGTCCAGAAGTTCAGTCTATTAGACATGTAAAAAGATTTATTAAATATTTATATTAATTAATGTCAGCTATTATATTAACATTACGTTAATATTAACAATAACAATTCATATAATATCACCAATTTTTCATATAAAATAATCTATCGATGAGTCGTGTGTGAACTATTTTAAACACAGATTTGTAATTGTTGTAGGTAATTTGTTATAGATATTTAAGTAACATGTACAAGTACAAACGTGTTCTAATTTTTGGTAATACAAGTTTTCCAGAATCTCTCACAGTTAATTTATAAAAGTGACCCTTCTTTATAAAGAAATAAGAGTGTATTTTAACAAAAGCCCGGCTTTTTGTTCAAATGCATTCATATTCATTCATTCATCGTTTTTCAAGCAGCAACATTCAAGGATCAGTGAGTACTTTTAATTGGCGTAAGTAACTTTAAATTAAATAGAGGCAAACATGGTGTCATTAGATGTTTATTTTAAAGGACATGGATACATTGCTTTTTTATTTGGAGATTTCAGAATCATACGTTAGTTGTACTATTGTTACCCACTCACTATAAGCTACGCCACACTGTGTTTAACTGGTAGATCTGAGTACCTTGCTCACATTATTTCTAATTAATTAAGGTTGTTAAGAAGATCTATTAATTAAGATTGTTGATATATTTCAAAGTACAGTAAACAATATATATATTAAAATAACTTGTAACTGAAAAAAGCAACTGTTAATAGTTAATATTAGTATATAAAAGACGAAGTGTTGTAGTAGAAATACTCTAAGAAGTAGAAGAAATTCTGTCTATTCTGATATTTCTTTTATCTTATCTTTCTGATATTTCAATTAACTAAATTTACTCATTCGTATTTGAAATTTGTAACCAGAACACTGAGATTTTATAAAATTTAAATAAGTTACCAATAAGTCAAATCAGACTTAGAATCAAACTTGTGACAATATATACCAAACAACGTTCATATAACTGAGTCATAAAAGTTATTAACTTTATTATGACAGATAAGTCTTATAAATGAGAGAAGCCATTTTGAGGAAAATGTAATAGCAACATTTTCAACGATAAATGGCGTTAAATCGTGTGAACCACTGAGATAAAATTATTAGAGGTTTATTTTTGTTTTGTAATAGTTACAAATCTTAAAATATTTTATGTAAAATGATTAGTAGATTATGTAGTTTTAGGCATACAGATTGCACATTCGTACGTCATTTTTTATATAGACAAACATACAAGAACAATTAATTATGTTCAGTGATTTCACTAGAACTTTTGCCACTTGAACATAGTCGGGAAATTAATCAGTTAGAAGAATTATCAGACTATTTACCATGACAAACAGACGATATAGATCATATCGTTTTGATAAATAAAGGACAACTATGAATGTGCGATTTATTTTTAAATATTATATACCTACTCTATGTAAAATAAAAATTGTTTAGCAAGTAATGGAAGTAAATTAAATATATGTATTAAATGCTCTTAGTTCATAGACAATCTTTTCACCTATTTAATTTGTAATTAGATGGCACTGTATGATATTTTAGATATTCATCATTTGACATCTACTCATATTAAACACCGTTTCAGAAAATGAAATATTTTTTATGACATGGTAGATTCTGCCTGTAACACCAACTAAAATAATATTTTAAAGTCTATTCTATTTATTCATCTACGTGCACTACATCTAAATTTTCATATCAGTTATGTTTCGTTTTGCTGTTGAAGCTGTAGACAATTTAAGTTAATGTATACAAAGCGAACATGTTATTACTAAAGTAACTTGTTAGTCAAAGAAATTGAACTTGAAATTTTGAGTACAACACCAAGATCACCGTTATATTATTCTAATATAACTTATACACTATACTTTAGTTGTAAACGTAAATCTATATATATAACTCAAAGGTGACTGACATAGTGATCTATCAACGCACAGCCCAAACCACTAGACGGATCGGGCTGAAATTTGGCATGCAGGTAGATGTTATGATGTAGGCATCCGCTAAGAAAGGATTTTGATTAATTCTACCCCCAAGGGGATAAAATAAGGGTTGGAAGTTTGTATGAAAATTTGACAATTTTAAACCGATTGGGCTGAGACTTTGCATGCATAAATCTACTATGACGTAGGGATCCCCTAAGAAATAATTTTGATAAATTCCATTAAAAATTAACGCGAGCGAAGCCGCGAGCAAAAGCTAGTAAATTATACAATTGGTTTTGCCTAATATTATGTAGAATCTAGGATCACAGAAATCATTTTTTTGTGTAGAAATATCTTCAAACAGTCGTCCCCTCGTTAGAGAAATGACGATTGGATATGTGGGATTCTTACCCTCTCTTATTAAAAAACCACAGGTTGTACCTACGAGCGTCATTTCCGATGTCGCCAGATCACGTTAGCATTCTACCGTGAGTCTACTACGGCGGAATAATAGTGTACTTAAGAGGTTAATTGTATTTTAAAATATATATAAAAAAATAAAATAAATATATTAATAATATACACGTATATAATCTATACATATAAATAAAGTTGGATTGTCTGTTTGTAATATTGAAATAACCG